GAGCCTCGGGCTCGCTGCTCCCGCTGGCGGAGCGAGGCTGCCCTTTCCGCAGCAGCGCGACTGATTTTGTTCTCTTCTAAACTCTTCTTCCAGGGAGAGGCTAGTGCTAACAGGCCGAGCTGGATGGATGGGTATGGGGAGAGGGGCAGGACGTTCAGCCCTGGGATTTTGGCCGACCCTCGCCTTCCTTCTCTGCAGCCTCCCCGCAGGTAAGGCGCTGTGCTCCGGCCGACCCGGCCGACCGGGGACCCTGGGCCACGGGACCGCCCGAGATTCGGGGCTGAAGCTCGCCAGGCCCCCTGGGGTCCCCGCCTCCCCTGCCCACGGGCCTTTGTTTCCCCGCTGACCCGCCGAGGACGCGATGGGTTCCGGTGGAGACCCGGGGGTACGCGCCCGAACTGCGAGGGGCAGCAACGGGCGAGGGGACCTCAGGGACCTGGGGCGCCTCTGGCCTCCTCCCGAGGAAGAAAGGGGGTGCTCGGACGCGCCTCCAGGGGTTCCGGAGAAGGGGAGCCTGGCGCGCTTTGCTCCAACCTCGCCTCCCGTTTGCCAATCTGCCCGGGGCCCGGGATGCGGCCGGGGCGCCCCGGAGGTCCCCGAGTGTCTCCGATGGGCCCCTCCCCGGAGCTCCCGTCCCGCCCCGCGCGCTTCCTCACGCGGGCGAGCCCACCGACCCGGTTCAAATGAGCTCATGTCCCTGTTTGATTACATTCTGCGTCGCCCCCTGTTTGTTTTTATTGTGTCAGAAAGGGAGAGAATTTCAGAATTAAAGCTGAAAAAGCCCATCTGTTTCCAATGAATCCCCCATAGTTTTTCACAATGTTTTTGGCAGATCACTGCTTTCAAATTCCTCGGAGCCCGGACCTCTTGTTTTTGTTGGGGGAAGGGAGACCAACTCCACAGAGAAGCATTTGTTCCTTCCCAAACGCTCCGGTTTCTTTACTTCTCTCTCTCTCTCTCTCTCTCTCTCTCTCTCTCTCTCTCTCTCTCTCTCTCTCTATCTCCTCTCCTCTCCTCTCCTCTTTCGGAGGGAGAGGGAAAGGCACGAAACTTAAATCCCCAATGCGTCTTCTTTATAATGTTTCATAAAACTTTATTTCACTTTTTCTGTATGCTGCTAGGAAACGCCAGTTAAACACTTCATACCCATTTTTCTCGCTCTAGAAAATATAAACAAACAGTCCAGGGCCAAATGGTCCTCCGTGCAAGGCGCGACCGACCACCTCTTCGTTGTGTGGCGGGGTTCAGAGGTCTCTGCAGAAATCCCAGCCGGTTTCACGAGGCAGTCAGGCGGATCTGCAGCCCCTGTGCGCAGCCGAGATCTGCAAGAAAGGACTTGAGTTAGGCTCGGAGTGGTTTGTTTTGATTTGCTTTTCAGCCACCTGGGTTTCAAGGAACTGGCAGAACTGGGCAGTCGCGACTGGGCCTTGCTACAAGTTGGGGCTCCCAGTGGGCGGCCCAAGTAGACCGTGAGCGGTGTGGGACAAGGGCTCAGTTTACCCTCTACTCAGTCCCAGTCCGATGGAGGCCCCCAGCGCCTACCTGGCCACATTCTCCCAGACCCCTCGGCCGCTGGAAACCGCAGGAGCGGCCCAGGGAGCCCCAGCCTGCTCCAGAGTCCTAGACTGCAGGGGGACCCTGCCAAGGACAAGAGAGCAGTGTCCCCAAAAAGCCTCCCAGAGGGTCCAGTAGCACCGAATCCTCCCGGGACCCATGTTGTTTGAAAAGACAGTTGTTTCTCCATCTACTTAAGAATCTGACCAGATGACCAGATTAAAACAATAAAAATCATTTTCATTTTAAACAAGAAATCCCCCTTTTCAGAGAAGCAGGAGTTTGTGTTCACCTCAGTTAGATCCAGCCCATTGGAAGTTTTATCAGATGGGCTGATAAATGGCTTTTGTCCCTTGGCTGCCTTGGGGGATGTGATGTCAGCCCAGTGCTGAAATTGAGAAGGGGGGCACAGGGGCCCTTAAAACAACACCTTCCCGCTCTTAAAGCCGCAGCACTTAATTTCTCAGGGGAGAAGTAGAGAAACGGGAAGGCTAGCAGTAGTTCTCAGAGGTCTTTGCGGTGCTTTCTTGATTTCGTTTTTGTCTTAAAACTTTTCTTTATGTTAAAGAATCCCGGCAGTGTCTGAGGGAAGTTATATAATTCACAACCCAAATTCCATCACTTTTTTTTCCAAGAAACCCATTTCTTTTTGGCTTCAAGGCTGGTAACTAAAACTCAGCAGATGAGCAGATAGCTGCTGGGCTATCAAGCCAGCTAGCTAAGGTTTCTCAGCCTCCTCAGAGCTCCTGACAGTTGCATGGAGTCAGACTTGCACACTGTAATGAAAACTGAGCTTCCTATAGCCCACAGTGAAATACACCGCAGCCTCCAGAACCTGGAATTTGTGTGCTCAAGAAATCTGGGTCAAAAGACAGTTCCCCAAGTGAGAGATAAAACGGGCAATTTTCACAACAGAGGGAGGGACTGCCACACCAAGGGACACTTGCGTGGATGGAGCTGGCACAGGGATGCTTCAGACTAAAGGCAGAAGCCCAGTTCTGCGGGAGAGCAGGGTAGCACTTAGAGAAAATAAAACCTCACAACTGGGGGGTCCGAGGCCTAGAATCACAGCCGTCCCCCACACAGATGAGAACTGGCTGGCGATCCCAGGAAAAGTGGTCGCATAGACTGGCAGTCAGCTTGGAGAGTGGCCAGGAGAGAGGCCAGGGGGGTGCAGATTAAATCGGACACAGGTAGGTAGAGAAAGATGCCTTCGCTCCATCCTGCTAGCCTGAGAATGTTTGTGTGTTTTATTTACATTTACGTAGTCACATGTACAGCCAGTCTGCTGTGTCCCTGCCTCCATGACAGCTTTTGGGGCCCTCGGGCAGACATAACCTGGTGAAGGAAAGGGCCCTGAAACGTCGTACAGGCTAGAAGGGCGTCTGCTTGGGCGGTGCTGTGGGAACTTGGGAAACAGGCAAACAGGCCAGGTCTGCTCTAGGTGGGAGACGCGCTGAGGCTTTTCAGAAGAGACTTCCACAAATAGCATCCTCTTCCAAACACAGCAGACAAGTATTCTTAAGCTTAGGGGCCATGTAGCTCGTTCAGACTGATATCTAAGAGAACTCCATCAAGGCACCTTGTGGGCCTGTGGACACGTCTCCTGTTGCTACACGCAGATGCTGGCTTCCAGCACAGTGTTTCTCACAGTGGGGTGTCAGGGACCAGCTGCAGCAGCCTCCCCTGCGAACCTGGGCCCTGACTGAAGTAGATTCTCCAGGCCAAGAGCCTGCAGTCTGCTCTGAAGGGCCCTACAGGGGCTTCAGATGCACACTCGAGTTTGTGGCCCACTGTTCACAGAAGCATTGCACAGCCAGGCATGGTAGCACACACCACCTATAATCCCAGCACTCAGGAGGCTGAGGCAGGAAGTCCTAGAGTAGAGGCCGACCTTCGCTACACAGTGAGACCCCTGCCAACCTTTGTTTATTTCTTGTTTCTTTCCCTTACACCTTTACACTGTAACAGTTTTAGAAATGTTAGTCCCAATGGGGAAACAAAGGCCTGGCAGGGTACAGAGGCCCGTGCAGTGTCCAGGCACACCCAGGTCACTACAGAGATGAGAATATTTCCATCAGACGTGCTATTTAAAATGCGCATGCAAGTCCACCTGATTACTGCATTGCTTTCGACTTAGGTCCCAGAGCAGTGTGTCCATCTGTCTGGACTGCTGTGACAACACCCCCGAGGAAGTCTGTGAGCACACAGTCCCTGCTTACAGCACTGGCCTGTTCAAGCCAGGTGCTGGGTCCACTTCACGGTTCACAGACAGCACCTTTCCTTGTCTCTATGGGGCAGATGGGGAGGTGGGTTCTCTGGGGCCCCTTGATAATCTGGGCACTAATCTTGAAGGCTCTACCCCAGGACAAATACACCTCCCACCACCCTACTCCTAATACTGGGGGCTCGGGTTTAACCAATGAATGGAGAGTCTGGGAACAAAGGCCTCCTCCATGGAAGATACTGAGAGGCCTCGCAGCCAGTGTGAAGGGTCTTGCAGGGCAGTAGAGCCTGGTTCCCAGGGAAAATGCAGACAGAAGTTCTGTAGGTGGTCGGCTCCTTCAGTCCCAACAATGAATTAGCAGGTAAAGGAAAGGATCTCTACTCTTCCCCTTTGGAGAAGTTTGAGAAATTGCTGGTAGTCACCCCAGCTCCCAAAGAAAGGGAGCTGGAGAGAGTTGAGCAACTGAGGAGAGGTGACCCAAGGCACAAAGGAGGCTTCTATGAGATGGGAAGAGGTCAGTAGGGGGCTGGAGATTTAGCTCAGTGGTGCCGCCACCTGCCTCACTAGCACAAGGTCCTGAGTTCCATCCCCAGTACCGCAAAAAAAAAAAAGGCATGTCAGTAGGCATGGGGACTGGCTTACATGAGGGGTGGAGAGGTGGTCCCCGTTAAAGATCCTGTCTTGGATAGAGTGCATCAAGCCTAGGCCTGGACACTGCACCCCAACTGCAGATTGGGTTGAGCACCAGTTGGGTGCCATGCTGTCTTGAGCCTGGTCTAAAATGCAGCCTATGTTGCACTAAAGAATTATTTCCATTGGGGTAACCAGCTCATCTCAGTTTGCCTAAGACTGTCCTGGTTTTAAAACAGAAAGCCAAGAGTCCTGGAATACCAGAATGGTGGTGTTGGTCACCTTAATTTCATCCCCTCACCTGTGTCTGTTAAGCATGAAGTTCTCTGTGTCTGGAGACCCTCAGTCTCCTGGGGCTGGTGGTCCTTCCCCTGTTCCCATTGTCACCTTGCTGCATCTCCAGCAGGAACAACCCCCACTGGGACCTGGGCATCCGGCAGGAAGGGCCTCATTTCCATGGTGCCCAGCCCATCCCTGAGCTGCCCCATACTCCACCCCCTCCCCGCCACGCTTACCCATGGGCAGCCCCCAGGCTTGACCATGGCACCACCTGGTTTGGGGTGCAATACCCACCATCTACCCACTTGATCAAGGCCCAAGCTCAGTTCCGGGGTCCATGCAAGTCCTCAGTGCCCTGGGCACCTGTCACCCAGGCTACTGAGGGCTACCTTTCCCCTGGCTTTGTGGCCTCAAGTGTCTCTCTTCTGAAACACCACTTCTGTTGGTAAGAGCAGGAACTCCCCTCTCTGTTGATAAATCCTTCTCACAAGCCCATCCAGCCTGGTCCCAGGAACTACA